GGTCGTGGGGGCCGCCCTTGCCGGCTGGCCTCTCGCCGGGTCTCATGGATGCCCGTGCTCGTCCGAGGCCCTCTTGGGCCTGCGCTCCCCCAGGGGAGGAGCGGATCGTTCGTCTCCAAACCTCCGGAGCTGGGAGACTTGAAGGGTCGCGAGGGCTGCGGGTCTCCCGTAAAAGAGCCGTCCGTGGAGCCCAACGGACGGCTGGATTTTTCTTCACTACTAGCAAATTCCTTCAAACCCTTCCATCCCTCTGCGTGTCTGTGCGGTGAGGTGTGCATCGTGTACCGTGTGTCGGGGGATGTGTGTATGTGAGCTGTGTGCGTGTCTGTATGTGCGTGTCTGCCTGGTGTTGGAGGTATGGTGCTGGAGGTGTGTGAAGCGGGATGTGTATGCGTGTGCTGGGGTCCAGGTGTGGTCTGTCTCAGGGCTACACTAGTGGGGAAGAATCCATCTGAAGACAACGTGACCGGGACCTATCTCTGTCACTAGACAGGCTTGGACTTAATTAACATTTATGGTCTTGAAGGAAATCAAGTATTTCAACCCAAAATAGATTTACTTGACACAGTGCAAGATGGCTATTCAGAAGGGCTGGGAATACAAGAATAGCTAAAAAGCTGGTTTTTGTGGGGGGAGATTTGCATCTGTAGAGAGAATCTGCGTTGATGCAGCCAGGCCTACTCTGAGACCCTCTCTTGTCCTATCCGGGAAAGATGAACTGAGAGTCTAATTCCTTTCAAGGTCTGAAAGAAACGTTCACCATCTCTGCTTTATGACGGCTGCTACCTGTGAGGTTTTCTGTACGCAACAAGACCCCCTTTGCTGGACAGATCTCCACATTGCCTCCCATGACTGTCTGGCACTGTAAGCTGATTTACTACCAGATCCGATTTTGGCCCTGCTTGGAGCCCCCATTCTTTCTGCAACCTCAAGATGTAGCATAAGCCGTTGCACCCTGTTGGAGGGTGGGGGTAGTCGCTCTGTGGTTCTCCCCGTGCACATCGCCTTTTCTCTGACGAGTCTGCCTTTCGTTAGTTGACTTTCAGTGAACTTTCAGAAGGTGAAGGGGAAGTTTTCCCTGTCCCCTACAGCCCCCAGTTTGTTTACTTGTCAGGTGAAAACAGCAAATGCACTTCTTAGTGTTGACCTACCAGGAGGAAGTGAAGGCAAAATTAACACAAGTAGAGAGTTTATTTGTGCCAAACTTGAGGATTGCAGCTCAGGAGCATGGATTCACGCTTCCCTGAATATCCACACTCCAATTACCAACAGTTACAAGTCGTGGAAAGAGGCTATTCTGGTTCTGTTAGAATAGTCCTTTTGAAAAGACTTTAAAACTGTGTTCTTTGTAATCGAATCAGGCTAAATGTAGAAACTGTTCAAACTTGGCCGGGCGCGGTGGCTCAGCCTGTCATCCCAGCACTTTGGGAGGCCAAGGCAAGTGGATTGCCTGAGCCTGCAGGTTTGAGACCAGCCCGGGCAATTTGGCGAGACCCTACCTCTACAATAAATCCAAAATTAGCCGGATGTGGCGTGCACCTGTAGTTCCGTCTACTTGGAAGGCTGACGTGGAAGAATTGCAGGAGCCCAGCAGCTTGACGCTGGGGTGGCCATAAGTATGCCACTGCACTCCAGCCTGGGCGACAGAGTGAGACTCCAACTCAAAAAAAAGAAAAGAAAAGAAACTGTTCAAACTTAAAAGTGCATATTCTTTCTCCTCCCTCCCCACCCCTTCTGCCCTTAACTCTCCCTTTTCTTGTCCTAACACAGCTTTGCCTGACTGAGAAGACCATTCAGGTGTTCAAACTCAATAGGACAGGGCAATGATCCTTACAATTCCATGATAGATATCATGGCCTTGTCTGACAGTGGAGAGTGATAAGGAAGACCCCCCCAGTTTAAATCCTTTAGTAGTTTAAAGAATGACAGGCATCCAGCTTGGGAAAGATTCTACCTGTAATCTGTAGGAATTTCTGGTAGCCACAATGGGTACTGATTAGTTAAAATTAGAAGGATGATTTTTAACCCTCGCAATGCTAATGTAATTATGAATTAATAGAAGCTTTGGTTCCTAACAATATAAATCCAGCTTCTGCCAAACGCAAAGGCAATCATTAACAACATAGTCTTGGGCCTGATTTTACTTGCATTAAGCCAACATGTCTTTTACTTTTCACGGATATTGTTTTCAACAATTCATAGTTTTTTACAATGTTAAAGAAGCCAACCTCTCTCCATGTATTCTGTGTAACCTGTTAAAAAGTTACTAAGCTCTGGAAAGCATTCCATTGTCTTTGATAACAGAAATGTATAAGCAATGAACATCAGAGTAATGGAAAGCAGACACTACGGGAACATTTTGAAATGTCATATCTTGATGTTACTCTATAGAAAACTTAGCACTTGTACTTATAAATATGAAATGTAAAATCCAAGAAGCCAAGAAAACTCAAGCGAGGAGCTAAGTTCTGGCTCCCTGGATTCTGAATTCAGAAATAAACAGCTGCTGAGTGTTCCTCGGACCATTTCAGTAGGTTTACAAAGGAAGCTAAGAGGCCATTTCTAAACTGTTTACTAAGAATTTACATTAATGCCGGGCTCGGTGGCTCAGCCTGTAATCCCGCGACTTTGGGAGGCTGAGGTGAGTGGATTGCCTGAGCCCGTGGGTTCGAGACCTGCCTGGGCAGGCGAGACCTCATCTCTACAATAAATCAGAAAATCATCCGAGCGTGGTAGCACGCGCCTGTAATTCCGGCTACTCGGAAGGCTGAGGCGGAAGGATCGCCAGAGCCCAACTGGTCGAGGCTG